GATACTTGGAATTCGCAAAAAAAAAGATACTTGGACGAATGAATGTCTTATTACAATTCACGTCTCAGTTGTTCCTTAGAATGATGCCCTGTTGGAACTTTGTGATGATACTTAGAAGAATGAATGTCTTACTAGATTTTCTCTTTGGTTGACAAGCTTTTTGTAATTTGCGAGATTGAAACAATAGAGATTTATCATTTTGCAAATGTAGTTTGTCTGAGCTCACAAAGTCACAAGCATCCAACATTGGTGGTAAATTTTAATTCTTTCTCATATCTTATTTGTCCTTCAGGAATATACCTCAGGTTGTTTTAGAACTTGGTATACTAATTTCCCGCAGCAACGCGCAGGGTGTTATCTAGTATAATATAATAGGGAAGAGTGAGAAGTTAGTGTCAGAAACAGGAGAGATTTTTTTGATCTGATCCGCTATCTTCGCTTTTGATTCCATTTGGATTATGACTCATCGTGTCGAAGACGCACTCCACCACGGCCACATCCGGACGATTTTGTCTGGCAAAGATTATCACCTCACAAGACCTGACCTAAATTGTAAGAGCACGAAAAAAACTACAGCATGGACCAATTCACAAGAGGTTTCGATCTAGGGTTGATGTTAGCAAACAATATGTACCCTCGTGCTTTCAATTATTAAGCCAGCAGTCGTATGAATATACTTGGTTCAGAAAAAAATCAGTATAATTTCTTTTTGAAAAGAAGATCTAAAGCATACTGAGTAATAATCAAACATCGGGTTTTTAAGGATGGGTGTAGATCAAACCTGCATGTTTCCAACATTAACTTGCGTGCAACAGGAGATACATACGTATGTATGCAGAGGCCAAAGCAAACATTAGCAGATGATGAGCTGCCGCCGGCAAGTACTTTTTCAACTCCTTGCATACGTACGTGTAAAGAACAAACCAAACATGATGATGTGATGAAGCTGCCGCCAACAATTACTTGTCGTCGACTCCTCGCATGCATGCGCCTCACGAACGCTTCACCTTTCGTTCGGTAATTAAGTGCCAAAGAGACGTTCATCAACACCACGACTTGATCAGGAAGCGTCCTATGACTGTCTTTTGCATGTACCTGATGAAACACTGGGGCTGTCAAATAGAGTTCCGGTTCGATGGCCGGAGGGGGTGAGTGTAGGTGCTCCGGTGGTGCCTGTTATATGCCTCCTCGTCAATGGTGTTGGTGAACATGTCCACCGTGGCTCCGCTCTAGCAAGGTCGACACCAGCTTGACATAGGAACATGGCTTCCTCGCCTCGCCGTTAGGCAACTCGATGGCCTAAGTAATCATCTGACCAGCACTGATCATGATTCATGACTGAGGATGAAGACCGTGGGCAACAGAGTAAGGACAGTACATGCAAATAAAAAGTGCGTCTAGGCATATCGACGAGAATCGGGTTCAATACCATGGCGGTACTATACCTGTACGATGTATTTACCTGACAATATCTATGTTGAACTCGTAGAGGAGCTACTCATAGTTAGAGAAGATGAGCGAGTTGGCCTCGGAGGTGGTGATGATCCACTCGTACGCAATCTTCAGTAAATCAGGGATCGTCGTCATCATGCAGTCATGCTGGATGTTCATCCTAGCTGAGTGTTCTTTCTCCAGGTCCAGTCTGACCAGCATCATCGGCAGGACACAATGAATCAACCAAGCGCTGCTGGTTTGCGGCCACCTCTAATCTGTCGGTGATGGAGCTCCGTCGTTCCTTCGCGCGGGACTGTGATCGTGCAGGCCTCAGATTGTAGTCGATGTAGGATCGAGCCGCGGGGGCTTGCATCGGCGGTTGAGCCGATCGACCTCATCGACGGAACCTTGAGTAGGCGAGACACGGATCTCGTCAGATGCATCGGAGGTAGCTATCGCCAATGACCTAACCCATCGTGATCTCCTTTTCGACTCAAATAGATACAAACAGAGACGGTCAGATTAAGGAAGGGATATTACACGGTAGGATTCCAATTCGAGTCGTCAAGAGTTGTTTTCCTTTTTTTCATCCAGTCGACGTGCATAGTTCGTTTTTCCTTTATTCTTCACCAAGCCAAACGTGTAGACTTTGTCTGTAGTGCTTTTGTGTTTTTTTCCCTTGCCCGTGTGTAGGACAAAAAAATCACATAAACAGGACGGACGAAAACAACAACGCAGCGGGGATATATAGATAGATTAGTACCACCTTGGATATAAAAAACAAATATAGACGTGTTGAAGAAAAAAACTGAAAGCGTAAATTCACATAAAGAAAGCGTATTGTGACGGTGAACCCACGGAGTCAATTCGTGCTTTATTATTACTAGCAAAACATGCCCGTGCGTTGCAACGGGAAAAAAATATCCATCCATCATGCTCACACTTTACAACATCGGCGAATCCTTTGAAATCTTTCACGATGCCACACAACAAACAACATGATAAGTGGTGTTTCGCAAAAAGCATAAGATTGGATGATTTTTGAATACTCAAGATGTTTCAAATTTATTTAACAACATAAATATCAATGGTAAACCGACATTTCCAAAATACCACATGTAAAGAAGATATTAATTAAGGTTGTATCGTAAACAAGATTTTAGAAATGATTAATATAATAGCATATTTAAAATCTGCATGATTTTTTGAGAGATTTCCATATATGACATGTTAGATTTTGGGTTTGAAAGTTATGAGTTAAAAAAAATTGAATGTGCCCGAAAATAGAAAAAATAAAAATAAAGTGGCTGGGCCAAAACTGAAACATCATGTGGCCCATCTGCTAAATAGGAGAGAATGGAGAAGGAGAAAACCAGGAATCGAACCCGGGTCTCAGGTATTGAGACGTGAGGCTAATACCACCACGCCACTCTACCTCGCGTTATGAATGATATGGGCTTACCTTAAATAAACATAAGCCATCCGCGATTTAAGTGAACCGTTTTTTCCCACTTATCGGTGGCATGGTGGGTAATTATTTACAACTCCAAGGGTAATTTTAGTGACGTACGACCAGAAGCACTATTTGCTTTATTAGTAGGGAAAGACTAGCAAAAAGACCCGTGCGTTGCAACGGGAGAGAAAACATAACATACATTCTTAACCCAACAACCATCACTTAAGACCACAATAGGTCCATCTCCTTTATTTTTGCGAGGCATCATATTTGTGTTGCCGCTTATCCTCCTTCTCACCCTCGCCGGCCGGCGATGGCCTCGGTGTTCACAGAAAACAAAACAAAAACGTGTATTTGTGTTGCCGCTTATCCCCTCTCTCTCTCTCTCTCTCTCTCTCTCTCTCTCTCTCTCTCTCTCTCTCTCTCTCTCAATGAGAAATCTGTTGTTTTCCCCTGCGAGATTTTTCAGAGGTATGCATGTGTAGTTATCGGTGTTTTCTCTTCCTTATATTGTTATAGTGGGGTGTTTATTTGCAATCCGGGTCACCGCCGGTACGAAAGGAAAACATATATTACGTTATAAATTATAAGTTTGCTCCCAAAATGATATTTTAAAAATATTTAACAGGTAAAATTAACATCATATTTAGATTCCACATATTTTTCGAATAAAATTCATATATAATATGTTAAAATCGAAGTTACAGTTTAAAAGATACGGATAATTTAGAAAATCATTGGTTTGACTTAAATATATTCCAAAATAATATTTGAAAATACTTAACAGGTGAAAATGATCTCATATTCATATTCTATATATTTTTCTAATCAAATTTCATATATAACATGTTCAAATCGGAGTTATGGTTTAAAAGATATGGATGATTTAAAAAAACATTGTTTGACATAAATATGATCCGCGGATGAATTACCTAAAACAGCAAGGGGGTTTCGAAAAATGTAAAATAACAGTTCGGGTGTGACTTAAATCCGGACTACGGGTTGATTCCAACAAAACACAGAGACTTTTGTGTAAAATGTGAAAAAAAATTCGTTTTAACTTAAAACAGGACTGTGGGTTGAATTTTTTGAAATAGAGGGACTTTTCTGAAAAATACCATGACGGACGAAAGAAATCCAATTTACTTTATTATTAGGTAAAGAAATGATAATTAAAATGTTAAATGCTCAATATTGTCCGTCGATGATTAACTCAGGTTTATAACTTGAGAGCTCCTAACAGATTAGTATATGTTCGCAGCAACATTATTGCATAAATATGTAGGAATACCAAAATGATTCGTAAACTATTTATGACATGGAGCATCTGTGTGAGAGAAGAAAAACTGATTTACTGAACCGAAGACACTAAATCGTGAATGAGATATGTGGCACAACATGTACAAAATCACCAACTGATGAAGGGATCCAGCTTTAGAATTTGATAACTGAAAATTAAAAGCCTCTCATTCAACAGTTTCAGGTAATCTAACCGTGGCAATGAAAAGCCAGAAATACATGCAGACATGTTATTTGTTCGTATTTTTTCTGTGTCACTTAGTGTATCTTCAAAACTAAAATAAGGGCTTATTGTGACTCCATATTTTGGTGTTACGCCTGGGAAAAACATTTAATAAAAAGTTCTGACACAATGTAATTAATTTACAAAAACTATTAGCATAATTAAGTTTCTTCTTTGCTTGAACGCACTTCCGGAGGTGTATAAATGATAATTAAAATGTTAAATGCTCAATATTGTCCGTCGATGATTAAATCATGGAACATTCATATAACTGATAGTCGGAGGAGATCAAACTAACATGTTCAGCATAAAATTCTATAGACAACTTCTCATATCCGTGGGATTTTTGGTTTTTACTATATATGAATTCTCTTAAAATTCAACAATGCTTTGTGTTGTTATTTCAGCATAATCATTCACGTAGGATTAAAAGCCGGAGAATTTGGAAGCTCAACTGACATCCGTCATTACCTGTTGCCGTGCTAACTTACTGGTCACTGGATGAAAAACTACAGAGATTGGACGTTGCTTTGCATTACTTGTGCCACTGCCACATTCGGAATATAGAACACATCTATGGCAGCAGGGTTATCCAGTCCTGTCTGCAGCACAAAGGAGACGTGAGTGGGGACCTTTGTTTCGGGAAGCTGCGGCCTTGATTGCGAGGTTGGCGAGCGGACAATTGCCGGCCAGCAGGAGCAGCGACCTTTGCGAGCCGGAGCGGGAGCCGTCGAGTTTGGCGAGTGGGTCACGCGAGGGAGACGGCCTAGGTCCTTGCGCATGGTTAGCGTAGCCCGCCGCAAGGGTCGTGCCAGCATGATCTCCGGGTCTGGGCGGGCTGGGCAGCGTCTGCACGGTTTCCTCCTGGATGAGCATGCATGCCCAGGCCCCAGGCAAGGGTTGCAGGTTTTTCAACTCCAGTCGGTCCATCGGGAACACGTCGGCGATCGTGTTCATGACGGACTTGCCCGGATCCAAGCAACACCTAAGCGCAGGCTGCGTCGATCTCTTGTGTCGCGCTGCAACGAACCAGAAGAATGCCATGGAGTCCATCCTGGCACATAGCGCCCTCAGGCTCTCATTGATGCCCACGGCGTCCTAGACCCTTCCTAGAGCCTGCAGCAGCAAGGGAGTCAGACTGCTCGTGATCGCGATACATAGAGATCGCGGCGGCGGAGCACGGCGCTTGCGTTGATGTGTTCGGAGCGGGACGCGAGGCCGCACTCTAACTCAGCCAAGCCGGCTTTCGTTGCCTCCTCTGTCAGAGGGCCACAGCCTCCACATCCCCTCGCCGTCGCGCTCGATGCCATGGGCCTGCCATCAAAACCACTTCCGATCCCTGAAACCCTAGCGCAGCTCTTCTACCTCCACGGGAATCAATCCATATTTATGGGAGGAATTAGAGGAGGCAGCGATGCAGAGTTGGACACAGAGTCCGCGTCTTGAGGGAAGACGTGCGTACGGGGATCAATGGGAAGAGGAATAAGGGAACTATCTCGGATTGATAACTTGCTTCGTCTTTCAATCGTACCAAGGCCCAAGCCTGTAGTTCCTTTTTTTTGAGCAATAAGCCTGTAGTTCCTAGGTTCGAGTCCTTTTTGAGAGGCCGAGGCCCAGCCAGTTGTGGGCGCACCGGGGAGGAAGGGCGCTACGAACGTGGCCCAAGCGGGAGTTTAGAAGCGTTTTTTGAGCCGAACGTTTCATGTATAGTTTTAGTACCACCTTGGATAACGAAATAATACTATACATTATACGGTGAACAAGTGACGGTGAACCCGGAGACCCAATCCGTGCTTTATTATTAGGGAGAGATAGTACAAATGCCTGTGCGTTGCACCGGGAGATCTTTTTTGTAAACCCTGCTCCTGCTCCAAGTTCCACTACACTCCACTTCTTATATCCCAAACAAATGTCAAAAATAAGGTTACCTTCATTCGCTATAAGGTGAATATGCCTTTGTGTTGCCGCGGTTGAATTGTCGCTAAGCTATGCTTTAGGTTGAGGTATGATTCTGCTCTTCACCCGCCTCCATAAGAAAACCTAGATCACCTCTTCTCCTCTCCGCGCCGCCATGGTACACCGCCGGGCAAAGCCCGCACAGTGTCGTCGGCGACGAGGAGGTCCTTCGGAGATGTTGTGCCCTGGTGAAGGCGACGAGGAGGTCCTTCGGAGATGTTGTGCCCTGGTAGGAGGGCCGGCTGCTGCGCGTGCGTTGGTGGGTCGTGGGTGGTCTGGGCTGGCGTCTTAGCCTCAGCATGTGGCTACCTTCAGTGGCGGCCCAACCTAGCCTGGTCATTGGAGAAGGGGGCTACATCTGTTCGGATTCGATCCATTTTCGTGGTCTTTCAGTTTCTACATGCCCTTCTCACATTTTCTTCTCCGAGCAAGCGATTTGCTTCACAAATTGCAACCGACCACACTCCTGGTCTACAACAACATCTTCTCGGCCGCTGCTTCCACAAGTCCCTGGGTTGAAAAAAAGTTCGATCCGTCAAGGCAGAGGCTCAGAGGGATGCAGGAGGAACAAGAGCTTGGCTCCCCCAGAGATTTGAATGTAACTTTCTTTTCCCGTACGGGAAAGCAATTGCCGTTGTTTGGACAATGAAGTGTTGATGTGAAGAACAGACCCTAACGTCCTTCGTCAGCGCCTACTTCGACTTTGCACTGCCATTGGATGGAATAGTACTCCAACTAATCGTACTTACAAAGCATGGCAACCCATCTTCCAGCTTACACATCCTTTGAATCTCAAAAGCATGCACCCGCTCTGAACTTTTGAACGTTTACTCTGTTGCTCTCAATTTGTAACTGCTTTTCATGTTCAGATTTAAGGCAAATAAAAAAGGAGTGGAGGGGAGCAGATTTGTCCAGAAATACGACTGGCTAGAACAGAATAATCTCTCCCTCTCTCTTAGAATACACACACACATGCACAAGCAAGTAAATCAAACTTCAAAACTGAATGAACCACACCTGCAGTCATACTTTTGTTGCGACCAGGCCAGGCGGAGGCGGGACACGGTGGCACTGGCGGCTGACACCGCCGAGGTGGACAAGCTCGCATACATTCTCTTCTCTGGGTTCACGAATCTCGTGTCCGCCTTTCCCTGTTCCCCCTTGGCTCCTACCGCACGTGTCCGCCTTTCTCGACGCGGCGTAGGAGGCGAAGGAGGTGGCACGTGGAAGCCTTCAACTGGAAATTAACAAAATGTTTAGTTAGAAGTGAGAACCTTTTTATTATCTTATAAAAAAACTAAAAGCGTAAATTCACGAGAAGAAGCGTATTGTGACGGTGAACCCACGGAGTCAATCCGTGCTTTATTATTATTTGCACTTGTGGTGACTGGTGTATGATTGACTAAAAAGGGTAAAAGTACTCCCTTAGGGCAGCCAAACTGTGCCAATGGCTCTGATGGCCTTAGGAAAAAATGGTGGAAAATTATAGCAAATTTAGTCCGTGTACACGCCTAAGCTTCATGGATAACAAACTGTTCAAGTAGCAGTCTTGCTATTTGGTGGCATATAACTGCCAATCATAATCCACGAAGAATTTCTGAAATTTAGATTATTCTGAACATTTTTAGTTACCCCAGAGACATTCAGCAGGTAACAGAGGGCATGCATACTATGTAATCTAGGGACATGTGTTACCTAAAGTCTAAACATTGCCTGAAATACTATGCAAAATAAGTACAACTTCAACAAAGAACAAACAATGAAATAAGAGATTTCATGCCTGGCCTCAATCAGAACAGTCAACACCCTTTTCTGAAGTGCCCATGCCTCTACTGCTGCCTTTTCCCTGCCTCAACACCTGTATCATAGAGCATACATAATGATAAGAATAACATTAGGCTGAGAAACATTGACCCCCTGTACAAAAGAGAGCATAGAGCTAGAAAAGTAACGCGAGAATCTTTATATGATTATATCACAAACCATCTATGAATTGACCAACACATCATTCCAATATAAAATTTATGCAGTGCCATGGAGACCATCTGGCGGGAGCATGCTCCCTTGTGGATACAAACAGACATGATGACTAAGGGAGGGATTTGAAACTTCAGTAACTACATGAATAACATGGTTTCGATTTTCAATCTCCACTGAGATGAAAGTGAAGACACGGTAGAAACAGAGCATTACAAGCCTGTGATTGCATTGCCTGCTACTGTGCAAAAGGCAGCAAGAAGGGTACCTGCATGAATATGCTGTAGCAATCTGGCAGGGATATCACATACACTCTGAGTCTGCAGCTCTTATTCTCTTGCGGTTGTCAGATTTTTCAATAACCAACAGATGCCTGAACCATGGTCGCTTTTACTTGCATATCTGCACACATGAATGAGGTACAGGAAGGAACGAACTATCACCGGGAAGTGGATTCCTATCAAAATAGTGATCGATCTGACAGAGATATACATACAGGCAAGGGGACGGCGAGGACCAAGGGCACTACACCGTGGTCGTCCATCGTCGCCGACTGCCGGTGTCGCCGCGGGGATGTGGATCCAGGCAGGGCGGAGATCCTCCAGCGGCGGAGTATGGCAGGGGCGGTGGCGCTAGGAGGTGCAGCCGATGGGGAAGGCGAGGGGCGGCCGGATCCACGTGTGCTGGCGATGAACGACGGCTGGATCGGGCGCTAGGTGAGGCAGAGGCGCGGGGGCGACGCTCGGCGGCAGGGGGTGGCCGGAGACGCTCGGTGAGGTGGGGCGTGGCAGGACCGCAGGATGCAGGAAGGGTCGTGCAGGTGTGACTCCCCCCTACCGGTTCGGGGTGTTTATCACGAGGATTGCGGGTTCAATTACCTAAAATGAGAGTGACTTTTCTAAAAAACACCGCGACGGTGAACCCGGAGACCCAATCCGTGCTTTATTATTATTAGGGAGAGGCTAGTACAAATGTCCGTGCGTTGCACCGGGCGAGAAAAAGACACATGTGCGATTGTGCATCATTTTTATATTCAGTTTAATGCACGCCCATAATAAGTTTCAACATGGAAAATTCCTTATTTTAAATAAAAGTTAAGATTTTCATAAAAATGGAACACTTAATAATTAACATTTTTATGAAAATTGGAACATTTCCTAAAAAAGAATAGTTTTTTAGGAAAAAGATTTTTTTACATATAATTTTTATAGCATTTTTGCTAGGAAATTTTTACAGATGGTTGTTTGCTTGGGAAGAGTTTGTTCCTTTTTTTTAATGCCCGTGAGTTGCAACAAGTACAATCTTGCAAAACCTGCTCCATGTGTCCTAACGCAACATTTTCTTTTATTCAAATATGATAATTAATGTTACACTTATTCAAATCTGATAATTAATGTTACACTGATTATTGTTTTCTTTTTAAGTTTTTGGTCATTAAGAAGCCACCATAGCGTTCTTTGTTTGATTCAAGAGTAGTGGTTCATGGAATAGTCTTTGAGTTGGTTTTATTTTTTGCTTTCCGCCACAGTTGCCGCAGAGGGAGGACAAACTACGCACGAAGACCACCATGGTTGGCATGGAGGGAGGACAACGATGCGCGAAGATGCCTCGAGGGAGATAGGGTAGGTCGCCGGAGCACCAAAACAACGTGGTCGTGATTCTCTGTTTATTCCCAATCTTAATGAAGAGTTCCACGCACTGAAGAAACAGAGATCATCCATCGGAAGCAACACACAAACCAGGAGGAGCAGCATAGTTCATATCTTCAGATTGAGCAAAACATATTTGTGGAAATTAAATAATAAGAGCACTGCAATTGCTAGTAAACTACATGATAATTTCAAGCAATACACAGGACCACCATCATATCTTCAAATATACTTTATTGTCATTCTGGACATGTATTTGGTCCTTCATACAACATATATATGCATTGATCACCTATATAATTAAGATTATTTTTAAATACATTAGTAATAGATATTAGTGATTAATAACATTTTCCTGTTTGACTACTTACATCATCATTTACCCACTCTTCTTCATCTAGCAGACACATAGATCTGAACCAACAATTGTTTTCTAAAAGATGATTCTATTGCTATATGAGCACATAGATC